ATGTCCAGTTGAGTTTTGAGTATCTTCAAGGATGCAGATTCCAAAACTTCTCTGGGCCCCTTTTCCAGTGTTTCTGAAAGTGTTGGGGTTTTTTTTCCTTTTTTTCCCCTCTACTATCTGGCTGGCTTTTCCCTTGTTTCGACTTGGGTCTGTTGCCTCTTCTGCTGTTGCTCTACATCTTCTCGAAAGGTCTACCCTCGCATTACGCAGTTGGCGACAGCAACAAGCTCTCCTTTGAGCTTCCTGTTTTCCAGGCTGAACATTCGCAGCTCTCTCAGCCTCTCCTCATACATCAGGTGCTCCAGCCCCTCTGACCATCTTGGTGGCCTCTCCTGGACTCACCCCAGTGTGTCCACGTCTCTTGCGCTGAGGAGCCCCAGCACCAAGACAGCACTCCAGGCGTGGGCTCTCGGCTGTCAGACGGGAGGGGTCACTTCCCTCGACCGCTTTTGCTACTCCAGCCCAGGATGCTGTTGGCCTCCTTTGCCACAAGGGCGCATTGCTGACTCAATTCAACTTGATGTCCACCACCACACCAAGGTCCTTTTCTGCAGAGCTGCTTTCTAGCCAGGGAGCCCAAGTTCTACTGCTGCACCGGGCCCTATATTAAGGGAAAGATTGCCGCTCATTTTAAAGAATGAGTGCTGAGGCTATCCCTAACACTAGTAATGCACTATGTATTAATATACTGCTGTTTTAAATACAAACAATGCTGTCAACATGTAAGTAGATGCAAACTTTCTTGAGTAACAACAGCATCTGATAAAGGAGGTCAACTTTTCTAAATACTGGTCCGTTATGCTGAAATTTTTCAAATGGCTGTTCCCCCCTGCTCTCCCATGCTTGTTTGTTCATTTGTTTCAGCTCTTTAGTGTCAGTTCTGTCCCTGACGCCATCAAAGGAATGCTTGGAAGTTACCGTCCTCTCTTGGGAAGATCTTGTTCCCCTTTGTTTGAAATGGGAATTTGAAATGGGGAAAGACCTTTTTGGTGGTGTTGCACTTGAGCCTGCTGTTTTCCTTATGTAAAACTAAAATTTTGCCAAATTGTGAATTTCTCAAAGCAGCAGATTGCAAATGCCCCAAATAAATTTACTGTGTTCCTTGAGTAAAAGGTGCTCAAGAAAGCTGAAATCTAAACATTTTCTTGAATCTCACAGGTCTGTTTGGCCAAATATTGCAAACGCTAACCTACAGAGTAATTGAGCATGCTCTGGCATAAAGCTGAATAGGTGTCCTCTGCAATTTGTGGTGTTTGTGACCTAATATGATGCTGAAACACAGGCAGAAAGTCATTCTCTTCCTGTCCTCCATCCTGTCCAGGCATTGTATGTAGATAAGGAAAAGCGTCTTGAAAATGTGAAGATGAAGCGGGAAGCAGGCTAGGTGATGCACTTTAGAAACAGAGAGAAAAAGACAGGACTCGGGGAGGATGAAAGAAGATGTCAAAAAGTCCCTGATTTTGCAGGATTCTGAAGTCAGGCTTGAAGAGGTGGCATCCATTTGTTAGGACAAAAGTGCAATCACTTTAGCTGTGGAGCCACTACCCTGACAGGTACGGGTCCTCAGTGCAGAGTTAAAAGATCCTAATGTTGACCACCTTGAATGTAAGTTTTGGTATAGTTTCAAATAATGTAGGCTTTTACAGCTAAGCACTCGGAAACTGGGAAACCCCAGCCTGAAGATTGTCAGTGCAACTGTAATTTGATCCTTCTGTTCACATTTAGAATTGGATTCTACTGGATCTGCTGGATCAAGGAGATCGTGGGTGATGCTGTACATATCACTGGAGATGAGCTTCTCACAAGTGGCCTCCATCCATGTGTTCATTCACTGATGTCCAGCTTGTTACTTCGCGATCTTACTCAGCAAAGTGCCCGAGGCCTGCAGCAGTGACCAAAGTCAGAAGGAGCTGACTTCTGAACGTGCCAGGTACAAAGAACTGTGCTTAGGGTGTCTCAAGTGGGCATCATAACTCATCAAGAGTGATAGTGTTGTCCTTAATCACTCTGGGCTGAAACCCGTGTCTGTGGATGGGGCTGTTAGATCAGCCCTCCCCCAAAACACTGTTACGAGTTTATGGAGCTTTCCAGGGATTTCACAGGAGAAATCCCTGAAGAAATGAACCGTAGTAACATACTAAATGAGAGATCTGTCCACGAACTGAATGATGAATATTAAATTCTACGTTGTACAACTTTTATTCAGCACATACAGACTGTAGGCAGAGACTTGGTGGAAGTGATAGGACATAGGCCAGTGTTTAATTGCATGATCTTCCTGTGTGTAGGCAGCATCACAGTGCAATCTGAGGCCATACTTGACAGCTCCTTACTCTTCTTTTAGTGCTTGACTTTTTAACCTTTCATGTTGTATCGAAAAAAATTACCGATATTTTTACAGAGATGCTGCAGAATTAGTATACACATGAACTTATTACAGCATCAGTGTTTTCACGTTGTGAATTACCGTGTATTTGCTTCTCCATTTCTTCCTATTTTTATTTTATCTAACACCTTAAAATAGTTGTGGGTGAGAAAGACAAATTGCAAGTTACACTTTTGAGTGTACGGGGAAGGAAGGTAGACCTATTCCTACAAAATTATGAGTTTATTACGCAAGAGCTCTTACTCAGTGTGGTTTTCTGTTTGTGTTTTCTTTGTCAAGCACAAAAAATAAAATGTAATTATTGTTGAGCCACTTGTCAGTCTGCTCTCTGTGGAAGGCTGATGAAATTTAGTTTTTCTCAAGTTGAAGGAATGGTAAGCACAAAGGCAACATAGTCCTGCACACACATGATTTAGTCTACACGAATGGCACCTTGCTGCTGTGGACTGTCATTTTAAAGTCATAAAAAACATTGTTTGCTGTTTCCAAATGTAGATGCTAAACACAAAAAGAATAAACTGCTGAACACAACACATGGCAGTCCAAGCATCAGACTAGAACAGATCACCAACTAGACAGATCATCAGCTCTAGGGAAGCCAGTAAGAGTCAGGAATGCAGTCAGACGAGCAATGTGACTGGTTTTCAGAGACACGTCTATATTTCAGGTGAAAAGCATCTCAGAAACAGCTAGTGATTAGACGAGATCTAAATAATTCCGAGATTGCTAGATGCCTTTGTTTGTTCCCTTTCCACGTCTAGAAAATGGTCCACTATTTCCAGACAGAAAGGGTAGATGTTCTCACTGTCTCAGTGCCTCTAGGCAAACTTGGCCATACAGTTTTAAAGCCAAGTAAACCTGACTTTTAAGCTGCACCACACATTTTTTTTTTTCCTTTTAGATGGGGATTTTTCATCTCGATGTTATGGCATGAAGTGAAAGTCTTGATTTTATTATTGCTGAGGGAGGAGGTAGAAAACCTTTCATTTCCTAAAGCTTTCTCTATATGATTGAGTTGAATCTATGTGGCTTATGTTTTAAATTCAAACAATTATCTTACGTGTATGGATTCCTGAATGAAAGCTCTTCTCTCAGGATATTAATGGACTTTCTTGGTTTACATTTCTTGTAAAATAATTGGTTTAAGTTGAAATTCACTTTTTTGCTTCAGTGTAAATGTGATCCTAATTAGGACACTTCTCAAGACCAGTATATACCCCCAATGAACTACACAAGCCCAAGAGGCTGTGTCTGTGATGGAATCTTTCCCATCTCCTCCCTAACACCTTTAACACATCTAACAATCCCATGAAACGGATTATAAACTTGCAGGTTTAATTCACATTAGATCTGGACCTATTATACTGGGAATGTATACATGTGACTTTTCTTAACCTGGGGATAACTGATGATCCTATCAAGGGATGTGTCGTTCACGGTAGATAGCATGTTTGTAAATGCTGTGAAGATACTTTAATTCCTGGAAAAACAAAACACAGAGATCTGGAGATGTCCTGCTTGGTGCTGCTTCTTAACTTGGTTTTCTTTCTTATTAATTTAAATGAGGTCATGGGATGTACAGCTTTTGTGATGGGAAATTTTCAGCTTCCTGCTTGCTGTAACACTTGGTGCAGAGTTCTTGCTGAAGCTTTCAGATTTCACTTTCTGCAAAGACTTTAAGTCTAGAGTTTCAAGTAAACAACATACTTAAAGGAGACTTATGTTTTGTTACCACGTAACTGGTCTGTACAGATTACTCATCCTGTGGCTTTTTAATGAAATTTGTAGTTAAGTACATCTGAGGCAAACACAGAAAACAGATCCTGATCTGTTACAACGGTGTTACTTTATTCCTTTAGTAGGATGTTTCCATCATACAAAAAAGAAGGGTTGGTTTTACTTACAAAATGCTGCTATCGCTGTGTTGTTTTGTTTGATGCCTGGTACAACTACGGTCAATGATAGCATCTGGAGACCCTAAACTTGCCTTGCCTTTTTTTTTTTTTTTTTTTTTTTGAATTCTATCTTGACACTTTCCACACCATTTCTTGAAACTTTTCTTTCCCAACCGTATTGGTAAATGCTATTTCTGTTTCTGAGAGGCTTCCTACTTTTCTTCCAGGAAAAGCAAGCTTAGAGGAGATTTCTCTAGTGAGCAGCGGTGGGAAGCATTCAGTTATTAACACGTCTACACATACTGATAGCTGAAGGCTTCCTATCATTTGCTCCAGAGTTTGTTTTTTTCTCCAAGTGAAAGACTGGCTTTTTTTTTTTTTGGGGGGGGGTAGGTGGGGAGGAGATTGTCTTATTATTCTTTTGGATTTGTCTTCAGGATTTGTTGTCTTCTCTCTTGCACTTTTTTAGTTCCTAAGCTTCGTAGTTTCTAGAAGAGTGTTCTAGCACCAGAGTTTTGGATCTGAAATCCATCACTGTATAAAATACTGTGAACAAATTTAAAATCTGATATTTTGGGTTATCTTTGATGTAGTTATGTTATCTATGATGTAGTTATAATTATGATGTAGTTACTAGTTATGAACTTTCAACCCTTGTAAACCAGTATTTTATTTACTTTAAACTTCTTTCCTCCTGTTCCTCTGTTTTTACAGGCAGGATGAAAGACCGGCTGAACGAGCTGCGTGAATTTGCCAGGTTACACAACCAACAGTTTTCTGATAGTGAGGATGATGAAAATTCACCCCGCGACGTTCTCCTTTATGAGACTGATTATGCCTTGGAAGTTCTTCATAAAGACATACAGAACATCCGGACAGAAAATGACCACCTAAAAGAGGATGTCAAGCGGCTCAGAAAGCAAAACAGACGCTTCCTTACTTCCATGCGCCGCCTTAGTAGCATCAAACGAGATACCAATTGTATTGCCAGAGACATCAAGGCCCGCGGAGAAAGCATCCACAGGAAACTCCAGATAATGAGAGATTTCAGCGAAGATGCAATAACAAAATATGGGGCTATGTCTGTCATTGCCAGGGTAGCGAAGAACCACTACGTTGACCTTATGCACGCATTTCAGGAAGCTATGTTTGAATACAATGCAACAGAGGTGAACCAACGGGAGAACTGCAAGATTCGAATTCAGCGGCAGCTAGAGATCATGGGCAAAGATGTTTCTGGCAACCAGATCGAGGAGATGATTGAGCAAGGCAAGTGGGATGTCTTCTCTGAGAATCTCTTGTCAGATGTTAAGGGGGCTCGCTCAGCCTTGAATGAGATAGAGACACGTCATAAGGAGCTGGTGAAGTTAGAAGGTCGCATTAAGGACGTTCACGAGCTCTTTCTGCAGGTGGCCCTGCTAGTGGAGGAACAGGCGGACACCTTCGATGTCATTGAGATAAATATGCAAAGTGTTGAGGACTATGTAGGAGACGCTAAAGACCAAGTGAAAAAAGCCTTGGAATACAGAAGAAAACACCCCCTCAGAACAATCCTCTGCTGCTGCTTATCCTGTTGCAGAAGGTGACTATCCCACTGAAGCTATCACAGACCGACTCGAATGTCTTCAAAATCAAGCATTCTTTCCAGTGACTTTTCTGTAATGACAACCCCTAGAAATGGGGGGGCTATTGTGCAGTTGTTTTTGTTCATTGCCTTTTTCCTAAATGTGCTGAAGGCTGTTCTATTTGAGAGCTCCTAGAAATGTTGATAGAACTATTTTTAATCTATTTTTAATTGAAATGTACGCTGTTGCTGTAACTAGAGGTGCAAGAAGATCTCCGCAGTGATACTTGTTTCAGATAGGCAAAAAAGAGGAATGAATGATGGGCTGCTAAGTCAGCCTAGGGAAGATGAGAAATTTCAAGAAGTAACTTTATTCTTATTTATCAAAGTGAGTCTGCAGGCGGTGCAGCCTTACCGCCTGGCGTGACACAATACACCACAGAATCAGGAGGTTTCAATTTTAACTAGTTTGGAGCCTGCTTGATACAAATACTTGAACAGATTTTTGCTCGATTCATTTGACAAAATATACTGAGCCTGTTAGCAGCAGGACACAGAACTAGTTTCTATTTCAACTTGATTTCCACCTGTCATGAATCTTAACAGAAGTAACTGCACCTTAAATGATAATGCACGTTTTGCTCCGTTTGTGTGCAAGTGATTGCTTTTCTCCATTTTGAGTATCCGCAACTTTGTCAAGGTGGCTAGAAGCACTGCAACACTGAGGCATCTCACCGACTTTTAACTTGAGCCACTGTCTGTACTCTCAGTTTCAAAACTGCCATGCTTTTATGCTTCTCGTACGTTTTTCTGCCAATTAGCACTTCAGCCAGAAGAGATGCATGCAGTGGCCTTCTGCAGAAGCACCCATAAGAAGACAACAGTTGCGGGGTCGAGAAAGCATTTTAGGATCTCTGGTGCTGGCACATATACACAAGCAGTTTTAGTGGAAGGATTATCCCGTCAATAGACTTTTATTTTTTTATAAGCATTGACTGAATATGGATTTTTTTAATATCTATTTTAAATAACATGAAGGATTAAATTTATTAACATGCAATTTTACCGGTGTACAAAACCTACGACTTTTCTCCCATTATTAGGAAATCTCCACCTGGGAAAGAAAATAGACATATTTCTTCAGTACACCTGAAGAAGAAAGAAAACAACATTTTAATGTCATTTCCGTGCTCTTTTCAAGCTTAAAAGTAATCTCTCCTTTTATGTAAGGGGAGTTTACCTGCAGTAGGTTTGCAATATGAGGAGGGAATAGAAAATTTGCAGCCCTGGAAACCACTGAGCATTGTCAGTGAAACATGTATTCATAAGGTCTGGTGAGTGATTGTAGCTCCTGCTTCTGGAGGTTTTCCAACTATAGTATTTCTAGGTGGCTTCCTGATACACTGTGATCTATTGCTATCCTTTGAATTAATGCAGGACATTTTTTTCAGAAGTTAGTGACTTTTTTTTAAACGCTAATCCTATTTGTACCTATTTTAAATATATTTAAACATTTCAAATATTTTGTATTTGGGAGTTTTCCTCCAGAGATGCGCATAGCCATCTTCCTGCACCAATCGCAATGAAACTTTTCCCCTCTGATCTTTTGTACACTAATTTTATATGTGAAAAAACACCCAAACATTTCTTACTATTTATATTGATATAACAAAACAACAAAATAAATTGAATTTCCAAGCTTTCATATCCTAGTGGGAAATGCTTCTGAGCCAGACAGGCTTTTTTACACAAACAGAAGCTAAATGGATAACTTTTCTCAGAAACTGAAAGTCTCTTCCGCTGAAGCCCCTGTCTGTGATAACATGGAAGAGTGAGGAACACCGATCTTCTAAACTAGAAGATATTTTGATATTCAGTGATGTCCTGATGATATCAGTATTATACTTGCCTGAGGACCTCTCCAACAACCCCGTGTTCAAACCTGAAGTGGGAGAAGGAGGGGTGTTGAGCTGGCACCGTGACTGCTGCTTTGGTGCTACTCAAGAAGACGAAGTCATTTACTCCGTAGATGCTGTGCCATTCGAGTCAGTGGAACGGTGCATTTGTAGAGAAATACCCTAAACCTCCGAGGGTCAGCATGTGGGCATAAATCAATGAAGAATAAAATATGTATTTCATTTCATCTGCATATTCTTAGCACTCACCAATGCTTTTGATAAAAATGTGTACGTGTTTTTTTCATAGGTTTCTTTTTTGCACGTATGTATGTCTACAGATGGAATAAAAGTTTTAATAAGAAAAACTGAAAGTGCAGAGTGTTGTACTTTGAATCAGCAGCTCTGAATAGTTTCTTGCATTGTCAAAGCTTAGTTTAAAAACTGCTGGACTAAACTCTGGGTTGGTGAAAGGCCATTAAACAATGCCTAAAAAAATGTCCTCCTAATATTTGTTGCCACAGTAAATCAAATGCGTTGCACATTGAGATAGACTTACCATAATTTTTCCTATAAAAACCATGAAAAATGAGTTTCATACATTCTACTGCAAGAAAAAATCAAATTTATTCTGGCAGTTCTGAGAGATCTTGATGATTTCATGAGTAGATATGCAAAGCTTACATTCAAATCTTTAGTCTGATTTGAGGCACAGGAAAAGAGAGGGAAAGCATGAAGAAAAGGTAATTGTAGACCTTCTCTCCTGACTTAAGGCTGTTGCTGCAAGGAAGAAACTGAGAATTATTGAAATACCAGCTTGAGACCCTTTAAAACTATTTTTAAGTCGCATTGTGAATTAGAGGCACTTAAAAAATTACTTCCAGTAACTGAGGAAATAATTCTCTTCCTTGCAAACATGTGTTCATTGCTTAATACTGTGTGGTTTTTTCTATCCTTCAGTTGTGTAAGAACTCAAATTTTGCCAGCCCATGAACTCGCCTAGTCACAGTTAAACAGACTTTTGAAAAGCCTGATCACGCTATCGTTGCAAAGACTCATGCCATACAGGATGAGTGGAATAAGATGATAAAAGTAGCTTGATAATATGTTAGCATACTAATAACAGAAGCTGCAGAACAGACATCTTCATGCTTGCTAAGGAAAGCTGCCTTTTCATTCTGAAAGTTAGCACGACTCCTATGGAGATGTGCGTAGCATATTCTATGGGTTTTTTTTTTTTTTCCTCTTCCCTCATGTGGTGAACCCTATAGCTGGGTTTGAGGGGAAAGTAGTTAAAATGTGAGAGGGGCTGCTTTAGCTTTTGGGGTTGCTGTTACTTTGGTTTTGTTTCCTACTGAAGGCAGCAGAAGCTTCACAACCCACTTCCCGCCCCCATGTATCTCAGCCCTTTCTGAGGAGGAGAAAGGAGAACTGGCGACCAGGCATACCTTGCTCCTTCTAAAATGTAAGAGAGCATTGCGTAAATATAAAAGAGAAAAAAAATTCCCTATTACAAAATACAATGTTTGGTACGTAGCAGTGAACTTCCCGGATGTGTGTAGGAGTCTCCATTTCATCTTACGGGATTTTTTTTTTTTTTTTTTGAAGCATGGGTTTAATTTTAGAGAAATGGCAGTGGAACGATTGCTACCTCAAGACGAGGGACCCAGACTGTCGACACACTTGCACACTTGAGCGGGCATCTCTCTGACACATGTCGTGGGAGAAGCTTCTTGAAGTAAAGGTATAGCTCTTAGTTTAAGACCCGGATATCTTTTTTCTGGAGGCTGAACTGAGTAGCTAAGCTGAACTGCTGCTTTTCTAATCTAACCTACATTAAGGATGTTTTGAATGCACAGCCCAAGTTGTATTTTATAATTTCGTGAAAACAAAACGGCTTCTCTAGATTTTTGAACCATGGGAGATATTTGGAATTGGTTTGAAAAAGGAAAGAGCTACACATGGTTGTGTTTCTATCTCTAGGAAAGTGTCACAAATATGATGAAGGCAGGAAACACTATTATTTAATAGATTATGAGGTGATTACAGTTAATCTATTTCCAACGCAATGTGATTTTCACATGGAGCCATGGTATTTGTTTCTCTAGTATGTAAGAAGGCAATAGCAGACCCTATCTTCTTCCACATTTCTAGCATATTATATAGCATCTTCGTAATAGTTGGGCCGAAGCCAGTAACAGCCAGTGGAAGGCAGCTCCACCGTCACACCTTACCTTACAGTGCCTACATTGTTAGGGTGCAAAGTCTTAACAGGAAAAAGTAACATTTTACTATGTTTCTCAGAAATAATGTTAGACGTGAACAGAGAACGAGATAACCCAACTGATGGTATTTCTCTACTCAATACTTTGCTGAAAGGCACAACCCTGCTAAGCAATCCTAGCTATGGTATGATGCCCATTTCAAGCAAATGATACAGCGTGGTAAGTTCCAGTCAAAGAGCTGTTCTTTCATTCACAGGCTCCAGCGTGTGAATAAAATTGAGGAAAAAGAAGGTGTGAGTTTCACATCTGTTCTTCACGTGTGTAAAACATTAACAATTCACTTTTATTGTATGTGAGAAGTATTTTCCTTCACAAGCATACCTAGCGTACTGGATATCTCTGAGCACTAACAGCCGAAGAGGTTACGCACCACCTGCATCTGCAAATTCGAGGCCCAGACCCCTTACAGAGGGCCACCTACAACCAGGATGTCTAACAACCAAGCAGGAGACGTGCTCCTGTTCTGCTTATGGGAGCGATAGATGGCCTCTGTGTGCCTCCTCCAGTTTGCTGGAGGCTCAGTCCAGCATCCCCAGCCTATGCCGTACCGAGTATTTCTCTCTCGTCCCTTGGGAGCAGGCTCAGAGGTGGGATGGAGGATGTCCATTTTATCCTCTGGAAAATGGACAGCAACGGTGGCGAAACTGGGAGCCGCTGGGGGGGAAGGCCGGCAATGGGGCACTTGTCCTTTCCCCTCTGCTGCGGGGGAGGAGAGGTCCCAGCGCAGGCACTAACCGGGGATATTGCAATAGGCGCTTCCATAGGCCTCGCATGCAGTGGTCATTAGCAAGAAATCTTTCCTTAGCAATATTTTTCTCCTAATTAAGCATAATTGATAGCTT